AACAGCCTGAAGTCATAGACAAACAACACAGCTGGGAAAACTATCCCTATATAATCAATGTTAAATTACAACACAAAATATTCCATACAGACAGGAACAACAGAGAAAGAGAGCTACAAATCTGCAAGGATACACAGTCCTTTTGATGTGCTCTGAGACCACCTTTAAGACCATCAGCAGTGTGAAACACTGTCCTTTCAGTGTGCTGTGCTATTCAGAGCATTCATATCCAGCTCTACTCCCAAAACCATTTCTGAAACTTAGTATTTTATAAAGGAGACTTGAGGCATATGGTATGTAAGCTAACAATGAATAATAAGGAAAGACAGTGGCTTCTAAGACTGTTCATTTTCATGTAAACTGGAATGTGATGTGGTGGCATTTAATACTGACCTGTCCTCTAATGGTATGGGATCCTCAGACCATTGTATATCTTGCCTGAAGGGACAGGATCTCAGTGAAGATGACATACCGAAATGCATTAAAAACACTGCCTACATGAGAAACTCTTGTTTCTGATGCAGAATATATGCATGCCCTAGCAGTCTGAGCAACCAGACTGCAGCCACATTTGTTCTGAACTAGGGAAGTCACATTTGATTGAAACTGTCAAAAAAAAAAAAAAAAACCAAACCCAAAACACACAAACATGAGATCAGGTAAAACAGACTTGGGCTCAATTTCTGCTGCTTCAATAAATGCAAGTGGCTGTTATCACACCAACTATCTTAACACCTCAGTGAACAAGGAGCCATGCAGATGAGCACAACTTACATCAGAATAAGACCCCACAGAGTAAGACATTTTTCATATCCGTGAGTAAAAATAAAGGCACCATTATTATGAAAACAAACATTGTTGAACAGAAAATGAACCCAAGACAAACAGCAAAAGAGAGTCAATTAAAGAAGAAAGGTTTTGCACACATTTGCAAAGTTACCTGGTGCTGTATTGCTCAACAATGGCAAAGTACAGTCACTGTAGTATTGCATCTTATTATTTATGCATTTTTATGCATTTCCTCTTTCTTGCAGGATATAACAGAAAATAGGTCAATAAAACACCTTTGTGTAATTGTCACCAGTTATTCTTGAACAATATTATTCTCCCAAAATAATTTCATTATTCCTATCTGGGAATTAGGAAAAGCCACTTAAAAGCTGTTTTTGTGATGAATGGAAGTCACAGCATAATCTTTTGAGGTCTGGAGAACAGTACAATCACATTAAATTCCCTCAGCTCAAGAAATGTCATCTTTACATCAGCTGGTACAAAAAAATTGTTTCCAGCCTGAGGCAGCTATGATAAGGGATTTAGAAGTCATCACCATGTGGGCCAAGAGATATAAAGGAATGCATCACCACATATAAAGTGTCTGCTTCTCAGAATTTTGGAGCTAATGTTCTCACAGCTGTGTATGACTTAGACCAGCTGGGAAGAAGAAAGGGACTAAATGAGTCACTAGAAGGATCTAGTATTTTGTCTAACCTGCATTTTAACATGCCAGTAGCAGAACTGTTGGTAAGCAAAATAAGATCAGATCATTATCCAGCAAGGGATGGGGCTGTCAAGTCTCTTGGAAGCACGGTGGAAAACACACGGTCCTGGGGGCAGGAAGGCAAAGATGACATTTCAGTTCTATCTGTGCACTGCTAAGATACTACCAGCAGCTGGAACAGCCCCCAGGACAACTGAGGAGGGTCATGGGTTACACAAAATTACCACAGACCATCTGGCACTCCCAAGCATTCCTGTGCTGCTCCATAGACAAGAGGGAAAACCTTTTTGAAAGCCTTACTCAGCAGCCTTAGCACAGCAGTTTCCCTACAGCAGACATCAGAGTTTTTACAACATACAGGCACTAACAGCTCAAGATGAAATCTCTTATGGCTTTACAGCACTCCCTCCTAGGATCAGTTTGTGACCCTCACCCATTTACATGACTAAAGCTCACTTATGGCAGAACTTGGTGGTTTTTGAAACAGGTGAATGGTTGAAGTCCACTTAATTCATGGTAATGATATAAAGTGCTAGCAGAGCCTTCACGTGGTGTAGAAACAATTGAAATGAAAAACAAAAAACCAAAAAAAATTTCTGTGGAAGAACAAGGGTCCCATGAGAAGATGCTCATCTGAATTTCAATAAGTTAGAACAATTACTGTAAACTTCTCCTGCAAACAATCCCTCCTAAACAGCTCAAGTGATGAGCTGAAGGTACCCACACAAAACTTCTTGTACTTCAGATATTCCCACAAACAGAGGTCTCTGCTGAACTCACTTTTATTATCCTAACTCTGACCACTTTTGCACATCTTCTGTTTACTAACAGAAGGTAAACAATGGTATTTACACACCCAAGAGAGCAGCCAATGATTTCATGTATAAACTTGAAGAATGGCTTGATGTATGCTGGTGGCTAGGAAAGACCCAACCAGCAGCATTATTAAACATGCTATTTGTTTATTCTTTTATTGAAGGATACTGCCCTCAACAACTGTCAGTGCACTCTCAGAATATAACCTATATTTTAAATCCAGAAAAAACAATGTCACGTCATCTTTATGCTTAGTGGGTGCTTTGCCTTCCTTTCCTTGGGATGAAACTACTGAACGTATTTCCTTTTTTTGTCAATGCATATTTGTCCATTTTTTTCTTTAGATATAAGGCTATCAAAAGAGTATCATTCCTAATGAAACATATTCTATTAAGCTACCTGACAATGGATGCATTTTTTAGGCTGCAGTGAAAAGTACTGCATTTGTTTTAAAAACCAACCAACAAACTAAAAAAACCAAAACCCCCATCTCCCCAAAAGGTATTCCAGCAAATAAGCTAGGTTCCGTTCCCCTTTGTCCAACCATTAAAGAGGAAAAAAAAGAGTACAAGAGGACTATATTAATATATTCCAAATTTTCTTAAGAAAATAAAAGAGAAAATGGAAGGTGGGAGGGAAATTATCTGACAAAATTGCTTTTTTGAAACTTGAATCTTCATTAAAGCTGTTTTGTTATGAGATTTCTTCATTAACTTCCTTTTCATTCTGTTACAAAGTGGTAAAAAAATGACATTTCTAAGAGTTCTGCTTTACTTTGAAGCCGTATCTTAAATTGAAGCATTCTGAATCTAGGCTGTTTCTATTTGAAACATTACCTGGCAAAATTATAGGTTTCATCTGGAGAAAAGCTTTAGAGGCTTATTTGAATTCGTGCTACCCAGACTTGATCCTCTTTTGGTTTCAACAGCATCCCCAAAAGTGAATCCATGAGCCAGATGCAAATTCTATCTCTGTCTAAAATGTAATCTTAAAACTTACTCTTTAAACTTTCCTTAGAGACTCTTTCTTTAGCTTATGATATACATAAATGAGTAATCTGAGCATCTATATGAAGACCAAAAAAGAGAAACTCTCTCAAGTAACTGCTCTAAGCAGGGGCATGGTTCAGGGAAGCCTCTTGGGCTCTTGTTTGCCTTTTCTTTTTTTTTTTTAATTGCTCAAGCTGCAAAGCAGGTGTAGCTAACTACTTAAAGACCAAAGAACCTATAAAAAAAATATCTATAATCAACCACCTCATTAGCATAAAAATAAAGTATTTTTCAAGACACAGTATCTTGGAAACTTCTTTATGATAAAAACATTAAAATTTTCTCTATCAATATTCAAACAAATTCTTAGCTCTTAATTATTTGAACTATTTTTAGACTTATACCATTTGCACATCTTGGAAAACAAGTTCAGGACTGAATCTTCACCATCCGGGACCTGCAAATTCTATCTGATAAACCTCTGGAAGGAGAAACAAACATCCAGCTTCTCCAACTATTTAACACTTAAATAGAAATTTACATCCTTCTGGGAGCCTGATATGTCAATTAAATCCATACACTCTAAAAGCATCAAAACATGTCACTATACTTTATTTTTCAATAAAGAGTATGATTTTCAAAAAGACAGCAAACAAAGTCCTTAACACTTGTCTTAAACTTGTGGAAGTATATGGAGTAAAATTGTTATTAAAAGAGAGTTAAGCAGCACATAGAAACAAAGCTTGATCTTCAGGTCTGTTTCCACCATTTCTCATTCAGATCTGAGTATCTTTCAAATTTAAGAGTTGATTAAAATAAGTATTTCTATATTCAAATGTATAAGCAAGCAAAACTAAATATATAGAACCCTTTCTTTACCAATACAACAAAAAATAGCAAGGGCAACAATTTATTAATTATACTTGCTCAGTAATGGAAATGGAAGTGGTGCTTATTTTGTGGATTACATTTTATTAAGACACAAACTCCATTTACAACCCGTGAAAGTCTTTTTCAATACAAGTATACTCATTTAGGGCAAAGCTCACTGACTAGAAGATTCCATTACAATAGCACTGTAATATTTGCTAACCATATTTCAAGGAGAAGCCTGAAGTCAGAGGGGTCACCTAGAACCCACTTCACACAGCAAGAGAAGGAAATGGAAATGTTAGCATTTGTTTCAAAAAAACAAAGGCATAAAAATCGGTAAATTCTCCATTAGGATTCAGTTCTTACAATATCTATTGTTGTCTTGGTTTGTATTTGTTCTCTGCAATACCCCAAACTGGCATTTTTTCAAAACCTTTATAAAGACTATCATTACTTGCTAAAGATCCAGAATTCTGCTAAGGGATTCTTTGGTCCTGCTCAGTGTTGGGTTTTGCATAGGAGCAGAAGGATGATTTTTTTACCCAGCAGCCACATCTCCAATACTTCAGGGATTCTGGCTGGACCACTGCTGCTCTGGAGCAGCCCTGTGCACTGGAGAACACAGTGATTCTTTCTTTCACCTGCACCCATTGCCAGGCTGCTGACTGCAGCCATGAACACAGCTTTTAACACATATGGGATTTCCTACATTGAACTATTTTTGGTATTATTCTAATGCAAGTTCCTTAACACTTTCATGCATATTAATGCTGCATGTACAAGCATCTTTAAGATTTCAAAGCTTTTCATGATACCATCCTTACCTATGTAGTTTATCCTCCAGAATCTCCATGTACTTCTCAGCATTTTCTTTTACACTGGTCACTGCAAAATAAAGGCAAAAGTTAGGTAATGATATAACTGCACAGTTCTATGGGGGTTTTCTTTTTTTAAAGCAACTCATCTCTTACCCACATATTTTACACATATCAGTTAGGAATAAGAATTTCCTTAATCTTTTTCACATTCAAATTACAGTGTGGGTGTCTTCTCCCTTTTTTCTTGAAAGTCTATTGTATCTATAATAATAGACCAATAAGAAATGCATTAACCTCTCGGTTAGGCCAGAAAAATGGTGAGACTAACAAAGGTAGAGTTTGTAAAAGTTTCCTCTTGACAAAATGAAAAACAAAGATAACAACGATAGCCAAAAAAAAATCATCCACACAAAATAGGAAATATTACCCACACAGCTAGGTCCTCCACTTTACCTTTAGAAGAAGTAAGCCAGCCTAACAAATACATCAGTCCATGCACAACAGTCCTTTAAATTGTTATCAATCTTGTATCAAACTTTTTCTGATAAAACCAAAACGCTATAGAATGAAAAGAAATATCACTCAAGATTGTTACCAAATTTAGGTTGGGGTTTTTTTTTTTTGGTTTGGTGTCTGGAGGGATATTTGTATGTGTGCTTGTTTGTTTATTTGTTTTTCAAGTTCAGATCTAGACATTCTCTGAGTTTCTATGACTTCTTCACCCAGAAGATACTCCTAAAGATCACTCACCATAACACATAACAACAAAGCTGTTCTTTTGAATGACCATTGGTACTCCATCAATGGTAGAAAGTAAACCTCTTCCAGGAAAATGGAGGCTTTTAGACAATAACCATTTTCACAATATAACAACTTTTCTTCCCCCTCCTTAACCGCTGCTGGCAAAGTCCAAGTCTAGTGGGACTGTAAATCACTTGGTTTCTTTTAAAGTCTTAATTCATTGTACATCAAATATATATTTTATATGAAGAGGCAGCCTACAGAGCATCACTATTTTTATGGGCAAAACATGCTACATGGATGAGGTATTCTGTGAATTTACCCACTCATCTCCCCCACCTTCCTTACAATACGAGGGCTCCAAGCACAGCTTACACACATCAAGAACTTTCCCCTTCTGTGTTTGTTGGGTTTTTTTTTTCCTTCACAAAGTAGAATGTCACCCACTAAAGCCTAACCTGAAAACTCAGCATTAGCCAAATCAGCTGGGCTAAAGTTTACACACAGAGGAGTTCACTGAGGCAATACCATTAGCAGCAAGCATCAGGGTCAGTGTAACACTGACTGTCTGCAGAGGGTGGTGTTCACCAGGTCACACAGCAGTCACACATCACTGAAGCTGTCTGCAATGCAATGGCAAGTATACAACACATTTTGCAAGGTTGATTTACTTTTTGGTTGTTTTGTTTTGTTTGTTATATGAGTTGATTAGATTAGCAAACAAACAAACCAACCAAACAACAAAAAAAACTGAAACAAACAAAAAAAACCAAACCCACCACAGCCCCAGTAGTCTGGAAGCAGGATTCTGCAAAATTACATTGCACATAGACAACTGCATTAGTTTATACATTCATAGGCCCAATTACTCATTAGAAGAGTGCTGATGGATGTTATGCCAAAGGCTTTATAAGGTTTTCTGCAGTGGTACTGGAGACTATATAACTTTCCCTAGCTTGTAGCAGTTCTGTAACAGGACTTAGTGAAAGCTCACAGTTTCCTTACCATGCTTTTATTCCTACACTTCCTGTGGAACTGCAGAGAGCCTGTAAGACGGCAAGTCTTTCTTTAATGACACTACAGCTTTACAAAAACAGCCACCACTTCTTGCAAACTCCCTATCCATCAATCCCCAAATGTGCTGACCTGAGGCCCAGTGCATGCTTTGATAGCAAATAGCTTCAAGGTGTTCGGGTGCTGTACTTCCACTTCTCTTGCCATTGTCACAGTGTCCTTCAACACGAGCTGTTACAACTCAGGGGCTTATTCTTTTGTATAATAAAGTCAGCAGATATTATTAATTTTTGGAGAGAGACGAGAAGAGGTGGAGAATCTGTTTCACACTCACTTTGTTTCTAACCGATATAGTGACTTCTTACATTACATGAAAGATAAACCTTGCTTTCAATTTCTCCTGCTGTGCTTGTCACTTTTTAATTGGGTTTGATCTGATAAAGTAATTCGCACTTTCACAGTTCAGTCCTGCCCCTACATGCAATTTTACAATGCCCTTGAAGCACACAGCTTAATATACCAGCATTATTCAATGACAAAAAGTAATGGACAAGAATACACCACTAGTCAAAAGTAGGTCAGCAAAAAGCTAACACTCATTTGGAAATCACCTCACATCACTAAACCCTACTCTCTCCTGTCAAACGTTTTAACTACATTAAAAGAAATGCAAACTTTGCTGCTGAAAGAGAAAGCTCCCCAGACTAGCTTTGTCTCCTTGCCTTCTTCTCTGTGTAATTGGAAAAGCTGTGACCTGGAGATTTTGCTGGAAGGAAAACACATCTTAAAAATCTGATTAAGGTTACTTCCCTTGCAACAAACTGTAGACAGCACTGCAACAAATACAGAAATACTTTCAGCCTTTTAGATCATCCATTGAAACAGAAGACAAGCAACTGATTAGCTGGTTTTTTTGTTCTAATTTAATTAATCTATTCACCATCACTTCAAAGCAAAAAAATGCAAACAGGAAACAGTGTGTGCCTTCAATCTGGCCAAGAAAATACTAAATGACAGAGAAAGAAAAGAAATAATAACTTAGGAGATTCTTCTCTGCATGCCAAATGGTTTATTTTTACTTTTAAGTGAATGGGGTTGCCTTTTTCCATCAGTTCTCTGGAGAGTTACATGCTTAGCTTACATTGGCCTTGAGGGGAGTTATTAAAATAAAGAAGTATAAATTCTCTATTAAAATAAAGAAGTATAAATACTCACAGAAGATCAGAACACCAAGTTATTTGGTAAGACTAAAAATAAACTTCTCTTGTGAAGTCTTAATTGAAGAAAAGCGAGTCAGCATTTCTTTACCTTATTTTATCTTAAATTTTTCTTCCTCCTTACAGCAGCAAAGTCCAGTCTTGGAATCACTTTTGGTCAGACAGAACTGAGAAGCAGCAGTGGGCTCCTGTGGTGGCCTTTTAATTGCTACAGAATGTAAATCTGCTGTTTTAGAAGCTGCATAAATACCATTCAATAATAAACCTATGTAGCATTCCTTTAAAATATCATCACATGTCATTTCTCATCTGAAAGCAGCCCCAGTGGGGTAATGCTATTTCTATTACTTACAAAGATTATTCAAGCCTGCACATGAAAGTGTTTCATTACTTTTATTCTTCAGTCTCTTATTCTTTGGTCCTCAAAAATTGAACTTAAAAAGAGCTATGAACTATGAAATATGCTTTGGATTCTGTGATCAGTATTTTCTAAAACTTTGTAATACCTGAGTATCCGACTGAAGACACTTCAAACCAGCGTTCATATGGATGCTCCAAACGTAGGTGCTTGGCAACTCAGAAGAATAAATCTTTAAAATTGAATAAGAGGCTTAAAAACTGGTAGTCAATACCACAGTAGTTTACACAGGCCAGTAGTTCTCTACCAGACAAGTCATCCACTGAGTCCAAGAGATACAAAGTCCAAAATAAATTTTTTGCATTCTATCCTAGAAGGTGTTTTTTCTTTTTCTTTTTTTTTTTTTTTTTAATGGGTAGACAGTGTGGATGAATAATGACGCATAGTTTTACACAAAATTAAAGGTTGGAAGAGCTGCAATAGCTCCAACATCCAGCATTAAAAGAAATGTCAGACATTACCTGCCTGCATGACAAGCCTGAAACCTACAAAATTAGCCCTTCTGATCCACAAGCATTATGCTCCTTCTCAAATATTTTATTAGGTAGAACACAACTCTCACTGGCTTCATTGACAATTTTTGCCTGACTTAAGTATCTAGGAATAAAAATAAAAATAGCTGCATAGACATGCATTGATCTACTCTGAGGACAGAATTAGGTGTGAACAAGGCTGACACGTTGCTTCTTCTGTCACTATTCTTTTTTTAAATTAAAAAATTGCTATTAATACTAAGAGAAAATGAAAGCAGAAAATGATTCTATGAAAATTATTCTGATCTTTTCCGTCATGAAAGATGTACTACATTAATGTGTGAAGTTGGGGTCTGAAAAACTGAAGAACAGCTTTAATATATTTAAAGGTTCACTTAAAAAGACAGTCAAACTTCAGAGATGACATCTCAGCTGCCCAACTACATGTCAAGATGATTTATCAAGCCCCAGTAACAAGATTTTGGATTACAGAATGGTAAGGAATTCTGCATCCTGCAGACAGACAGGGAAAAACCCCAAATAACAAGCTCTGTGTGAAGAACAATGGCCACTCTCCAATGTATTGTTCCCAAGGAACTCAAGTAGAAAGAACAGATTTTAGGATTAAAGGCACAAAAATAAGTGCCTTATTTGAAAAGTGCAAATACTTTAAAAAGGCAAATAAAACTCTATGCTGGTTCCCTGTCATCCAGTAATGAAGTAAATACCAAGGTACATAGTTATTATCTGTCTCTTCCAGTAATTGTGGTTTTATCTAAGAAATCTGCCAATCTTCTAAATAACATTGCAGAACAACATGAAATAACTGAGGAAATTACTGCCACAAGAGATGAGGTGGACAAAATTTAGAAGTCCAAACGGACTGGCTATTCTGCAATTAGAAACACTACAAAAAGGTGAACTGGAAAAACAAACATCTGTACTGAACATCTAAGAAATTAAAGCCAGACATTTAAAGACACAACCCAATCTTACTCGATGGAGTTGAAAATATTCTCTGCCTAATTGGAGATGATTCCATAACTCAGTCACAAGGTTTTTCCCTCCTTCTGTAAGCAGCTGGCCTGTAGAATAGGATACTGTCCTACCACAGAAATGGAAAGCTGTGCTTTGCAATGGCATACCACTGGCAGGCAGCCCAGGAGCAGCAGTTCTGTTGGGCCTGAGATCCAGGAATGCAACA